CTTCTCCTCCAGGTCAACCCTTCTTCCCTCTGTACATGGTTCCTGCAGAGCTATACATCTCACAGTTCTGCATGTGACTGCACCAGATCAATGTTCATAAAGAAACTTTCCAGCTGTTCCAAACAAGCCATGGAGTCAGACAAGGACAACCACGCTGACACTGAGACAGGTAACCAGGAATTTGGCTCCCTCACACTGCTACAGCACTAACAAAAGAGACTAAAGTATGAAACTTTCGATATTGTTCAAAGAAGGTGCTCCATTTACTTAGAATTAGATTATGCATGTTGTGTTACTGCAGGATAACACGCCAACAAGTTTCAGTTAGATTTAGCAAGCAGGAAAAACAGAAGGAATGTTTGGTTTTGAGAGCTTATAATGGAGGGTTTGTTTCCATTTCACCCATCAAGTGGCAGTATTTTCATTATGCATGACTAAATGTTAACTGCAAGGACAAGTTTAAAGGATCAGTATCTGAAGACACAATGCCTCCCAAAGACCTTGTTACAATAAGTGTGCAGTGACAGGACAATAAAAGCCTTTATTTTCCAGTCTTAATATTATTGAAGCTCCTATTGGAACTTTAGTTCTTTGGGTATTATGGCTGTTTTATCACAAGCCATCAAAACTGCATCAGTGGTCCATCTACATATGACACAGATGACGGCTTCAGTCCACTAAAACCTCTCTCACAGCCACATGACTTCACATGGTTACAGATCCATTACCAAAAGGTGCAGGGGGACAAGCTGTGTCTCACTCCAAGTTATTCCCAGGATGTCTCCTAGGACAGTGCTGTGCTCCTGGCACAGATCTCTTCCCTGTGCTCACAGGAAATTTGCATGTAGACATTTGAGACAACAAGAAGCTCTCAAAACCTCCAGTAAGATAATGCCAGTGAATTATCATGCATGAGAACAGCAGGACAGGATGTACAGTGCAAGCTTACATAAGACACAGGCACTGCTGGGAACCAGCACAAGTGAACAGCGTAAATGGCTCAGGAAAATGCTGATGTCACTCACGTACATTTGGGTTGTGCTGGCCAAGTTTCTATGAACCTAAAACTGGCCTTTCTAGCTGTTTGTAAAACCTCACAGTCTGTTCTGCTCTGCCCAGATCTTGAGAAGAAACTTGTTTTCAAACACCTGTGTTTCTTCCTAGTGAAAGTTTTCTTTAAGATGAGCAAGAATCTAAAGAAAAACAGAAAATGTAATGGAGAACTGGAAAAAGCATGTAACTGCGTACACAAACACTTGCTCCTAATACTTACTGAGAAAATAGTTCAAGCACAACTTACCCATTTTAAAATATGACCTCTGCAAACCTACTAAGGTCAACGAGACTTACAGTAGTTACTCAGTGAGCTCTGCTTGCATAAATTAAAGATGCCTAAGGGTAGCTATGAAACTGGGTATTTGATTTTTCCAGGGCACCTACATATTATGAATTAACAATGAATTGCCATTTTACCAGAGAAACTTTCAGGTTTAAGAATAAGAAAAATCAAACTCAGCTGTGTTGTGCTTACCTCCTCCTCAACACATAAAAGCTCCCCTATTTAATGTTAAAACTGATTATGGAAGCGTCGTATTAAATTGAGTAGGTGAGACACAATAGATCAAATTACTTTCAAAAAATCCCCAAGATATCAGTCAAACAGTGCTTCCTCCTGGTGTATCCTTCTACAATAGATTAAAAAAAAAATTAGAAAATAAGACGAGTAATCTAGCTGCACAAATGAGTATAAAGCAAAACTCTAAAGAGAGAAAACTTAGCTCACTCAGATCAGTATTTGCAGCAGCAACTTCCAGCTCTGCGCTTGGCTGCTTTCATTAGTTATTGCAGTGGCTGCTCACCACTTCAGAGGAGTGTGCAAACCATGAGAGGCAACTCCTTGAGTTTCAGGATTCCTGTATTTAGGTTTTTGTCTATGGAATACTTAAGGTATTTGATTTTCCATAGAGAGCATCCTATAGGGTGAGATGGAAAACACTGTTCCTAACGAAAATACTGTCCTTGAACGACTCAGTTTGTCTTTCATTACAGGTATAATGAACCTACAGAGGCACCCTGAGAAAGCATTGAGTTAACCCAACTCCCCAACCCTGGCAAGAACCAGGTGCCACAGTAACTTACAAACCAATGCCAGAAATACTTTCTTCACTGTATCAAGTAAATCAGAATGCCTCTCTTTCAGTTCCTTACCAAAACACCAAGTCTGACACCACTTAGGTCACAGAGGACAACTATGAGAGATAATCTGCCACGTTAGAAATTCACACGGTTTCCTCAGCGGTGGGAGAGGACACCTAAAACCAGTTTGTTCTAGGCAAACAGGAGGGAAAAAAACACCCATAAACTATTTGCAGTGTGGAATGGCAGCTCTTTGAGAGCATATTAATGCACACGCTACATAAAAATATGAAGTTCAAGATAACCACAGTGTAAATCACACAGTATCACAGGTATATTAAATGTCTTTTTAAGCAAGCCCCTATTTCCATCCAAGGGTGGCTACTACAGGAAAATTCTACAAGCAAAATGCTTGCATCCTGGCTAGAGCCTCCCTGCTTCTATTGCAGAAATAACATCACTATCTACCCATTATTACTACAGCAGATAAATATTTCACAGTCATTAGCGTGTTAATTCACAGTATGACTTGGAAAGCACTGCTATTCCCGATTCATAAGCAAACAGAGGGCTGGTGCTGGAAGGCTGATCCAAGGTCATGGAGTAAGTCTGTGGTAAAGTAAGAAACTTCACCTGGTTTTGCCTTCGTGCAACTAATACTTTCTATTAATGAGTCATCGCTGCTCCTCTAAATTGTTCTTTGAGCAGGAAGAGACAACAGACTGCCTGTGGCATTCAAACTCTACATGCTAACAGCAGCTCTGCTCCAGGCATCTCTTAAAAAAAAAAAATCACACCCAAGGGCCTTGTTCTGTGCTGTCACAGAATCCTGCTCCAGCATTGGGCTGCTGTGGGGGGAAAAAGAAAAATACATATATATATTATGAAGTAGCCTTCCTTGTTTGTGACCCAGCTCTCTCCCTGGAGAAACAAAACCCAGTCCTTGAATAGTTTTTACTCCCTCCTGCCACAGACCACCGGGCAAGGGCAAAGTGCGGGAGGAAGGGACGGTCAACGGGGAGACAAGTTATCAAAGCTGGGGGCCGGGGCGGGGGGCCAGAGCTCCCTAAGGCCGACAAAATAAAATAAATAAATAAATAAATAAATAAAAGCCCAACTTCTGCTGGCGGGTCACCGGGGTCACAGCGCGGGGGAGGGGGTCTCTGCCCGAGGGGCTGTGCGGGGGGAAGGGCCCGCGGCACTGGGGGGCGACGGGGAGGGTGCGGGGCACGGGGAGTCCCCTCCCAGCTCCCCCACGGCCGGGGGTAGCCGGCTGCGCATCCCCCCCCAAGGCCCCCGGGGCTCCAGGGGCGCTCCCCATTCCCTGCATCCCGGCCCGATGCCCCCCCGAGCCAGCGCGGCCCCGGGGGCGCCGCTCCCCCCGTACCTGTGCGGGGAGGCGGCGGGGACCGAGGGGCTGCCTGGCCCGGCCGTCGCGCGGCCGGCAGGTCCCGCGGAGGCTCCCGGCGCGGTCATTCTCGGCCGTTCCCGGCCGCTCCGGCCGCGCCGCTCGCTCCCCTCGCCTTTAGTTTGACCTTTCCCGTGTCTCCGCCGCCCGTCCCCGGCACCCTCTGACGTCACCGCCATGGTAACCAATCCCCGCCCTCGCCCGGCCCCTCCCACCGGCCCCACCTCTCCGAGCGCGCGCGCGCACGCGCCGCCGGCAGGAGGGAGGGAGGGAGGGAGGGAGGGGGCGGGGCCGCCTCTTCTCTGGGCGACCAATGAGCGCGCGGGCGGACGACTGGGCACCGCCCCTCACGAGTCACCGGTGGGGCATAGACCCCGATAACACATGAATGTCTATATTTATCTATGAATATATATGAATATTCCTTTCTATCCCCCCCACAGCAGGTCAGGGTTCCCTGATAGTACAGAACAAGGGCCTTGAGTGCGATTATTTTTTTTTTTAGAAACCCCTGAAGCGAGGCTGCGACCTTTGACTGGCACGGGCTGTGCGGTGTCCTCACAGGGCACGCGGGCGCTCCCACAGCCCTCCATGGAGCGAGTCCTTCCTTCCTCTCCAGAGGGATTAAGGGGGTCCTGGCCGACGGCAAGCTGAATAGGAGTCAGCAGTGCCCTGGCAGCCAGGAGGGCCAACCGCGTCCTGGGGGGCATCAAACAAAGCATCGCCGGCCCGTCGAGGGAGGGGATTGTCCTGCTCTGCTCTGCCCTGAGGCGGCCTCACCTGCGTATAGTCTTAAGTTGCACCAGGGGAGGTTTAGATTGCACATTAGGAAGAATTTCTTCACAGAAAGAGTGATTAGATATTAGAGTCACCATCCCTGGAGGTGTTTAAGGAAAGACTGGATGTGACACTCAGTACCGTGGTCCGATTGACATGGTGGTGTCTGGTCAAAGATTGTACTCAATGATCTCAGAGGTCTTTTCCAACCTAATTGATTCTGTGGTTCTGAGTACTATATGCAGTTTTGGGAGCCACAGTCTAAGAGATAAGGCTATTAGAGAGGATCCAAAGGAGGGCTACAAAGATGGTGAAGGACCTAGAGGTGAAGCCATACGAGGAGTGGCTGAGGTCACTTGGAAAAGAGACTGAGATGAGACCGCCTTGTGGTCTACAGCTTCCTCACAAGGGGAGGCAGAGGGGCAGGTACTTTTTTTCTCTGTGGTGATCAGTGACAGGAGGGAATGACTTGAAGCTGTGCCAGCGGAGATTTAGGTTGAATATTGAGAAAAGGTTCTTCCCCCAGAGGGTGGCTGGGCACTGGAACAGGCTCCCCGGGGAAGTGGTCAAGGCACCAAGCCTGACAGAGTTAAAAGAGCATTTGGACAATGCTCTCAGGCACTTGGTGTGATTCTTGGGGCTGTCCTGTGCAGGGCCAGGAGTTGGACTTGATGATGCTGATGGATCACTTCCAGCTCAGGATATTCTATTCTATTCTGTTATGTTCTATGACTTTAAAAGCTGCCTTTTCTCTGCACACACACAAGCCCAGCTAGTGCCGTCATAGTTTGCCTGCTCCTCTCCATGTCTAGTGTACTTCCCGGGGTACTTAAGTATTCCCCGAAGATCACGCTGCTTCTCCAGTCCCATCACTTACAGCACGTTCCCATTGTTTAGAGAGCATATGGGTGGGTAATTGCTTTTTCTTTCCCCAAAATACTTGGCATAGATATCATATATGTAATATGTTTAACATATGGAAGGCTGCATATTTCAATGCCTCAGTGCACAATGTGCGCATAAATGTTTTATGTGTAAATGCTTTGCTTCAAACACTTGTCAGCTGTGAGCACACGCAGCTTACAACTTGTGTAAGGTTGATGTATTAGGCTCTGGGTTTGTAGATTGTTTAATGAAAGGCGTGTGCATTATCAGCGTGCTATGTAATGCGGGCTTTAAGTTGAGATAAGTACACCGGCATGATATTTAAATATGCTATCAATTAGCAATTACACCGTGTCTTTCATCTGCCCGACATGCAGAACGCGCTGCGTACTTTATATGTACCACTTACTGTCGTTTTTGGAGCTATGACAGATTTCAAACGATTTTTTAATCAGAATGTTCATTCAGAAATACAATCCAATATTCATCAGAGATATAGACTGAGATGTGTTCAACAAACCCTTCCTGAAGGTGGATAAAAGGGAGTAGATACAGTTTCTCTCTTTGAAATGTACGATACCTTTCTCCCAGAGTATTAACAAACCAGTTTAAATCCTATCATGGCAAGACCAGGATCTGCAGTGTGAATTTGTGCATAGACTGGGTCTTGCTCGTTTGAAGGCGGAGATTTCATAACGAAATTATTTTAAAGAGAGCTTTTAAGCTATCTCTGAATTTGTGACATGGCTTATTTCTTATCAACCCGAGTAGATTTAGTGTTGTATTAATGACTGCCAGCGAAACACTGCACCTGGATGATATTCAGAGCAGGAGCATCCAGGTGGAAGGTTACTCTTGTCAGCACAGGGTTAGGTGCTGACCTGCCTGGTGAGGGTAATGCCATCCCATCGCATGGAGGCCATGTGCAGATCTGCTGGCTTTGCATAGACGTTCTGGTAGGTCCCAGCTCTGGGACCTACCCATTTTGATGGGTCTCTAGTTCCAGTCTCCAAACCATGAGCCTGAGTGTGGCCGGCTCCCAGGGCTGTGAAGGGGATGAGTTTGGCCAGTCAGCAGCAACCAGGAGTGACCCTATTCTAACAAAGCAGACAACCATCTGGGGCAGGTGTGACTGTGAGCCACAATGAGCTGTGTATTGAGACACCGTGACTTGGACCTTCATATTTGTAATGCTGAAAAAGTGCAATGTCCATGTTAACAACCCTTACAAAAACCCTCTTGAGTCAAAGTAGAAGGAAGACTTTGAACAGCAAACTCTTGAGAAGGGCATAAATAAATGTGCCAGTGGGGATATATATATATATATATCAGTATGACTTTGGTGGGTCCCCAGGGAAGTAGTTTCCTTCCTGCATATCTCCTGTTGCTCCCCAGTTCAGCAAGGAGACCCCTTCCTTTTCTCCCCAGGAGTCAAGCAATGTAATCAGCGCTTGTGGAGGAAATAAATACAGTTCTCAGCATGAGTAAATTCAAGTCAAATACACTTATTTGGCATTTTTATCCATGAAATCTTAAAAAAGCCAAGATCAGCCCATAATGACTAATTAGACGTGACAAAGAGGAGATGGCACAACAATGTAGGTGAGGGAGGAGATGGAGAAATCAGTCCTGAGGAAAGATCTGGCACTCACAAGGCATGAGAGAGCCAGAGCTCATCTGTTCAAATATAATCTTCCGGAATGGGAGGGGGGGGGAAAAGCAAGTCTCTCCTTCTTGCACAGACAATGCCAGACTCCCGCGCCTGATTTCCATGAGAAAGGCCACTTCTGGCATTGACATTCTGCTGCCACAGAACTCCTCCTCAACGGGGCTGAAAGAGGAGGGGAGGAATAAACTCTGCTTTCCGAAAGGGCTGGAGCTGCCAAAGAGGCCCATGGAAAGCCAATTGTGCAATGAGGGAAAACAGGGAGGGAGGATCCCTGCTCATGGACACAGTGAGCCGCCTGTCGAAAATAAGTGGGAGAAGGGCTAAGAGGCATTTTGATGCGTTTATACAGATGTCGAGTGAGTGCTGGTTTAAAGCAAAATTGTTGACGGGGACACTGGTGTGGGGTTGATTTTGAATGGTGGAGCATTGCACTCAAGTCCTCCCTTCATATGCATAACATCCATAAGTGCTGCTGATTTCAAATCCTGGCTCACACAGAGGTTTTATGAGCACTTCTCATTCGTAGATCTCAGAGCACTTTACAAAGAGAGAGCTATAAATAAGACAGATGGGAAAGTGAGGAATCGAGAGGGACTTTTAAAGGGCAGTGGATTGTTTCTTTAAGGGTTTCTGTGGACAAGAACTAGATAAGAACTGTCATTTTGCTGAATATAAAATATTTTGCAATGGCACACTGTGTCAAATTACTTGTGCAAAGATATTTATGTTATTAAGGCAAAGGTTTGTCACACTGTGTCCAAATTGTCTCTGGCTAAGCTTTTGGAAAGTACAAAAAGAAAAGCACCTAATGTTAGATTTTAACATAGTGTATGGATGTTTTAGGCGCTTTTAAATTGAACAGATCAAAGCCTTTTATTCCTAAATGCCAGAAATCCAGTGATATTTGTGTAACTGTGTAATTTGACCTGTCTGTTTTACATGTTCCCAAGGGTTTATTATAGGCAGCTTTCAAATTAAGTGGGCTGGAACATTTGATGCTCTCTTCCCTGCTTTTTAAAGCCTGTGCAGAGCCCATACTGTGTGACTGACACTGCTGTTAAAGGAGTAGCATTTTAGTTTTATCACAAGGTACGCAGCGAGGGAATGGAGATTACCCTGGTCCTGGTTCCAGCTCTGCACTCCAAGGCAGCCATTTAATTTCTGCCTCCTTCATCTTTCCCCTCCAGGGAGCTGGGTACAATAGTTCCCTGTTCTCCAGGGTAGCACAAAGCTTAATTAACCTTGAGAAAAGGAATGGGTAAATTGCAAACAACAGGGAGAGAGTGGGGAAGGCCCCAGCACTTTAAGCATCTCCATGTTTGTAGTCACCTGTGTGGGACCATTTTACCACTGATGTTCCACAGCACCTGGCAAGTTTGGGAAAGCCTTAAACACTTTCCCTGCATTTGAAATAACATTATTATATAACTAGAAAGCAGCCATAGGCTGATGGCTCACCAATGTTTTATGCAGCAATCCTTTCACCCAACAGTGACCTTGTAACCGGATAATAAAAGCCATAGTCCATTGGCAATCGCACCTGTGCTGCCACTATTTACATTGCAATAGCACCTAAAGGCCCTATTGTATAAGTAAACCTGTCTCTGTCTGGAAGAGACTGGAAGTGGAAGGGGAAGCAGTAACAGAAGCAAAATGTTTGTCTCAAGGTCATATATCAGAAAAGTAGCTCTGGCAGGGGAAAAAGTCAGGTCTCCCAAGTCCTATGTCCTGTGAACAATGGCTTACAGGGATAAAAAGGACATATTTGCTTCTAGGAATATAAATATAAAAGGCTGGGAGATTACAATGTTGCCAGTAGAATTGCTCTTTGTTTATTTTTCTGGCTGTAGAAGTGCTGTTTGGTCATTCTGGGGTTTGGCTTTTTTTTTTTTTTTTTTTTTAGGCAATTTAATATTTAGGCAAATATTAAATTGCAATTAAATTGCCAATGCCTTTATGAGAGGCGTGATTTTATCTGAAGTACATTATGATTTTCCTAATAACAGACCCAAGGGATCAACATTTCTCTTTCAGAATTTTTTTTTGTTGGAAAAGTTAATTGTTCCTGAAGTAATACTGCTTTTGTTGTGCTCATTTGTAGAGCATGAAACAATGAATCTTTGAATTACAGCATCCCACTTCCTACCCCGTGTGTTTCTGTGTCACTATCAGCTCTGCTCTGGTTTGATCTAACCAGATGGCATCTCACAAGATGCTAGACATGAATATTTCATATGGTTTAGAAACTGTTTTTCCTCACTCTTCAGTGGTAAAACGTGTTGATTTAAGACTTTTCACAACTCGAGATACTTTCTGGCCCAGCGCCACAACTCAAGCCAAAGACAGCTGAGCATTGTTGTCATCTCACAATGTGGGAAGCAGGGGATATTTTGGACTGTCGGAAAAATGGAGCTGAAATTTTCCATTAGAAGAAAAATAAAAAAGCATTGTTCAGGCAGCAGTCTTCCAGTTGAGCTGCACTTAGGTTACATTTTTTGGACATAATGTAGAAAGTCAGAGGCATTAGATCAATGCAATTTTTGATCCATTGAATCAGCAGCCAAGTTAATCTCACATCTCTGAGCCAGCAAATACTTTGTTTTTGTTCAAAGTTGGTTTTATTTCAGTTTAGGCCATTTCTAACGCTACTTTCTTATTTACAGTAACAAAGTCCTTAGCCACAGTATCCTGTGATATAACTCAATTACAGTCACCTGCCTTTTGCTCAGACTTTGCTTTTGCTCCTCTTTGGAGACATGAGTGATTTATTTTGATCTAGGTCTGTGTTGGTTTTAGTGGATAATCAATATCGAGTTGTAAGTGTTGCTCTGAAGCTCTGGAGCTTGCAAAACCAGCTCTTTGGTTTTCTCAACCACACAAGAAAATTTTTATTTTAGCTTCTCAGCAGTGATCCAGCTCCAGATTAAGGCACACACAGCTTGATTCAGTTGCCCACATGTAAAACTCCAGGGCCATTTAAGATGTCCTAGAGGACTCTGCCTGAACTCCAGCTCCTGCTTCAGAAGGTCACAAGTCTACTATAGATCCTGTGTAATTTCTGCCAGTCCCGTAAATGCATCTGCGATACCTTGGGGTATGCCCAGTGATACTTGGGTGCTTGCGTATCAATTGGTTAAATGCAAATGTACACATGCAGGCATCTCCTTCTGAGTTGGGTGTCTACATTCCCACTAGAGTCAACAGTGATCCAGTCAGCAGGGACTAGAAAGCACCCGGTTGACCAGACCTTAAGTGTCCACTTTAGGATACGTGATCATCATACTTTTCTGCTTAATATTCAAATGACACGTTTTTCAGGCAGGACGTGTTTTGCTCTTTAGTGTCCACACCAGCAAACTGAATTAAACACTCTGCACACCAGACAGCAGCCACACGTAGAAGGAGCTATGTAGCAAGGGACTGGGGATCCAGGACTTTCTTTCCAGCTAGAAGGATGACACATCAAAAAGGCAGGCAAATTCCCAAGCAAAAAAACCTGCTTAAAGCAACTGTGGTGCTTCTCTGTCCCCCAACACAAGCCTTGCAATCTCATGGAGTTGTGGATGGTCCATTTGTAGAAAGGAGCAGTTGTACTCCCTCAAGTCAGACTTTATATCAATGTACATCTGCTCTCGTTTAATTTATGTTTTACATCATACGATACACCTGTTAAGCACACACTCCACATGGAATCTGTTACGTGTAGATTCCCTTGTACTATCAATTTGTGAGTGAGTAATATTGACCCCGCTTCAGGAAGACGTGGGAGACAAGTGGTGACAGTGGTGGAAGAAGAGCTGGGAATTGAAATCAGAGATCCAGGATGATAGAGAAGGTCAAGCAGGTGTAGCACAGGGCAGAAGAAAAGAAATAAGGAGGAAGAATCAGATGGATTGGAGAACCTGGAGATAAAAGAGAAGAGGGAATGACAGGTATGCTGCTTGAGAGGCAGTTTCAGATGATGCTGGAAAAAACAGAAGATAAAGCACTGAAGAAGGCGTTGGTCCTCTGGCTGGACTACAGTATCTCCCCAGGACACCAGTGGAACAATGTGTCGAGATTAACAAGAAATCTGTGAAAGTAAAGGAAAACATTTAGGCTGTGTTTGCTAAAGCAATTTAAAGAGTAGTGTAATTCTGCCCTGATGGAAGAACAGCATGGGGGATGCAGCATCTCTGCACTCTGACACACCGGCCCTGCAGGGCTGGAGGCAGAGCCGCTCCTGAGTGACTGAATCCCACTGTCTGCTGTTACAAACAGCCACATGAGCTGGTTCAAATCTGTCAAATATTGTGACAAAAATAGTTTGGATGCCTCCCCCACGATACACTGCAGCTATTAGACATCCCCGTTTGGCTGGTTACAAATCTTCTACACTAATTTTTTTCTGAGCCAATTTATACCTCCTGTTTTTGCACCAGAATTGGCTTTTCACTTAAATAGTTCTCCCCTGTGTTTCCCTCCCTGCTGTATTTATAGAAAGCAGTCATGTTCCCTTGCAGCCACCCTTCTGCCAGACTAAACAAGACTTCTTATGAAATGGGACATTATAAAATAGGCACTCCACTCCCATGGTCCTTTGAAAAGCCCTTCCTTTCACCTAGTCCACACTGAATTTGTCTTTTTTTAACTTCATCAGGCAGATGCAAACACAGCTGTTCAGAGAGGCTGGAGGGACAGCAGCGTTTGCTCGGGTCCATAGCTGACCACCACAGGTCTCCGAGTCCCTCTTGCATCCTTCCCAGCCATCACACAGGTAAAGCATCCATAGCATCTGTCAATCATGGTCCTTACATCCCATTGCTGATCCTCCCAATGGAGTACTTGAGGGGACATGGATTTTCAGACTCAGCCATTCCCCTCAACAGAGGTAGGACTCTGCAGATCCTGGCTGGTGGTAACTTGCCTCCAGGGAGGCTGTGATTCCTGGTTCTCCTCACTTCCAGAAGTGTGGAAACCCTTTGCATAGGACAAGTTGGATTCAAACCTGTGCATAAGATGACAGCTCTCAGATCCTGCTTATTTCTGGATCTACCACCAGTGTCCAAGGCCTGAAAGCTTGGAATACACAGGGAAAAAAGGCTGCCACACAGCTGAGCAGCATTGTCAGGGCTCTGTGAGGGATCACGGGGCCAACAGCCCTGCAGCAATTGCAGGAACATAGCAGCAGTTGCCCAGCTGTATCTTTCCTGCAAGGAGCATTCCTGCAGGGGTACTTCCCTTGAAAAGACAGCAACAGGCATTTTTTTTTCTGATTTTTTTCTAAAAATCAGAACAAAACAAAATAAATGTTGAAAATAAAGAAGGTGTTATCCCCCAGATCACCTATCTTCATGCTCTCACCAACTTTCTTTATACCACCTTTATCTTTATTGCAGTTTTCACTTAACCTTCAAACCTTCCAAGCATGGGAGGTTTTTTTGCAGTGACTGCAAATATTCTTCCTGATTTGTATTTTCTTACCTTTCAAAACTAGTCCACACTTTTTTGTTTTGTAGCTGTTATAGTCACAGTCATTGAAGTGCTGGTCAGAAGAGACTTCTTGGAGTCTCTGGTCCAATCACTTGTTCACAGCAGGGATTGAACTAGCATTTAGGGGGATAAGCCATGGCTTTGAACCTATGAAGCCATGATCCCCCCCCCCCCCCAAAACAGCGAATCCACAGCCTTTGTGGGAAACCTGTGCCTGGGCTTCACTACTCTCCTAGTGAAAAAATTTGTCATTGTGTCCCACCTGAATTTTCCATGCTACCTCCTGTGGTCAGTGCTCTTCCTTATCCTGTCTGGCAGTGCTCAGTGTTTGTCTTTACAGTTCCTATCTTGGTGTAGCTGTAGAGAGCTCTTAGACGGTCCCAGCCTTCTCTGTGCCAGAGAAAACAGGCCCATCTCCCTGTGGGTGATGCCCTTGAGGCCCTTGACCATCTTGGTAGCCCAGGGCTGGACCCTCCTTGGTTTCTCAGCCTCCCACTGCAGTGGGGTCCTCACCTGAGCCCCAGGTGTGTGCAGAGTGGCCTTGCCAGTGTCAGGCAGGGCAGGGATCACATCCCTCAGGTTGGCTCCTGTTCCAGGCGATGTCTGCCCCGGCAGCTGGGCCCTTCCCAGCAGGGCTGTTCCTGCACCAGCTCTCCGCAGCCTGTGCTGATTTGTGTGGTCCTTGTGCCCTGGGTGCACAGCTTTGCAGTTTTCTGAACCTGCTGAGGTTTCTTTTGGCCCCATGCTCGGGTTTATCCTGGTCTGTGTGTGTTTGTGGAAGCGCTGGCATTGCCTGTGTCAGCGGCCTTTTCTGTGCTCCCCCCTCCACTTTGCCTGCCGGTTTGCTGAGGGTGCACTTTGCCTGATCTGCCTGGTTGCTGTTTGGAGGCCTGGCTTGGCCCCCAGAGCCAAGTTGCAGCTGGGCACTCAGCCCTTGGTTGCAGCCCCGTGAGCCAGAGATCCGGCCAGTTTTCCAGGTCAGCTTCCCTTCTGTTCATTGAGCTTGAGGCTCTTCCGCTCCCAGATGAGACTGCAGTGGTCTCAAAGACCATCCTAAAGTTGATTTTATCTGGGTGTAGTGGGTTAACCTTGACCAGCAGCCAACAACCTTTCAGATACTCTCTCTAACAGGACAAAGGGAGAAAAGAGGATAATTGAGTGTGAGATAAAGTCAGGGAGATCATTTAGCAAGCACCATCACAGGCAAAACAGATTTGACTTGGGGAAAATGAATTTCATTTACTGCCAATTAAAAGAGATTCAGGCGAAGGCAAACAAAGGGAAAAAATTAAAATGACATTTTCCCACCATCACCTTTCTGAGGTCTGGCTTCACTCCTTTAAAACCTCCCCACAAGGGGCTCAAGTGGGTGGGAAGGTGAGTTATCGTCACAGAGTCATAGAACATCTCATATTGGAAGGGACCCATCAGGATCATTGAGCCCCTCTCCCTGCTCCTCGCAGTGCTGCCTACTGCTGAACCATATGAGTGAGACTATCACCTGGACAGCCCAGCTCGGCTGAGGGGCTCAGCTCTGCCCTGCCGTGGGGGTGCTGGAGGCAGCTGGGACCACCTCTGTCTGTGACGGAGCAGCCCTGGCCTCTCCACCCTGCAGCCCCATGGCCTGCCCCTGGATGTGGCCAAACCCTGCCAAAGCACCAGACTGGGCAGCCCAGCTCTCAACGGAGCTGCCTCTTCACTCATCACTGAGGCTGCTGGGGCAGGATCTGCCCTTGAGAAGTTTTCACGGACTCTCAGAAGTGCAAAGCAGACAGAGGGAAACTTGCTTAGAAAAACTTTAATACTGAAGTCTCTCACCCAGAACATCCAATTTTCTTTATTTTACAAACTGATTGTTCTAATTTGTCTTCTAATAAAAACAAACTCTTCATTGTCAACTCTCTCTTCATAGTCTGGTGTGCTCACTCTGAGGACCATTCACAAGTGGATCAGTGATACGGCTTTGACCCTGCTCTGGTGCCATCACAGGGTGTCAAACGTGCCATCACAACTCACCTTGTAACACCTCAACAGTCCTGCCAGAAAGGTTTTGCTGGTTTTCTGAATCCCCTCCACAATACAGAGTAATCTGTCTCACTGAAAACTGGGGGAAAAAAAAGTTCTCTCTTGTTTCAGACTGTAATTAGATTATCTTTAGTGATTACTGCACTCTCTACGCCAAATAGATATGCTTTTACCCTCTTCTCTTTTTAATTATAAGGGTAGAAATCTTTTACTGTGATATATCTTTTGTCTTGCTGTGTTAACTATTCTCTCTAATGTTTCCCTAGATCAGAACAACATCTGTGTACACCACGGAGGCCACGGTTCCCATCAGTTTTTGATGAATGGACCTCCACCAACCTTCAGTGCTCCTCGCAGAACGCCACGCACCGCTATTACCTAAAAATTAATTGGAAACATTATTGGAAACATTGCTTAATGTAGCTCCAGAGACTGGCTGGGAATTAATGACTATGGCTAGCTCTACCCCATCCAAAATTTCTTCTGAAAAACCTCAGGTGGTAAGGACAAACTGGATAGAGAGCAGAGGGAATGATCCAGTCCCAGGAACTGAGCTGCAGTCCTGAAGGGTGACTCTGTTTTATTTCATCAGATGCCTGATCATGGGAATATATCAAATAAACAAAAATTTTTGGCATCAGCCATTTTACTAAAGTCTCTTTCTTTTGTAGGAAGTGGATCATATTCCTTCATTTACCTCGTTGGTTAATTATTTCAGATATCTGAAAATAGTCTATTGGGTTTTTTTTCTGCGATGATCAGTGAGGCAAAATCAACAAAATAAGATTGGCAAAATCTACAAAATAAGCAACAGTGGGGCCATTATCTTGCTCAGACTGACTGGCACGGTTGGCTACAGCTATATTTTTAAATTGCTGCTGTTCAAAACAGGATGGCCTCATGCAGGCTGCAGCAGCTCTTGCATGGTGTGCAGGAATTGTTCGGGAAGATGCTAACTGGCTGAAATAACACCATCCCTCTTCTTGCAATGTAAGATAGGGATAATTCAGTCCCAGTGCCCAGGAACTTTCCCTGCATTGTTCCATCCATTTGTGTGGGTGTAACCTGCACGACAGCTCTACTAATTTATATTAAAATAAATTGTGTATTTAAAAACAGGGGAAGGGAGGATCCACAACTGTAAATCAAACATTGCAGCTCTGATACTTGCAAAGATACTGACATGAATTATTTGCTCCATCCCTAGAGAATTACAGGCCTATGAGAAACAAGCAACATAGATTTGTTAAGAATAAAGCACACTCCACAAATCCAGTTTAGTTCTTTAACCCAGTGGATAAAGGCAACGTAGTTTTGGCTTTGCTGGAACAAAACTCTTGGCATAGCCCTGTGGAAATGTCCTCACTGACAGGTGAAGAAAAAAGGTCTAAGTGAGGCATAGCTTAACCCAGATGATACCCCACATCAGCTGACAACAAGTCCCCAAGGCCACTTTCTGCAATGAGACATGAGGAAGCATCCCCTGACTGGAGAAAGGAACAAGATAAAATGTCTGAGAAGGAGGAATATCCTTGTTCAGAGGAAATTGCTATGAAGTGAAGAGTTAAACTGCCTGGAATGTCATGCTCAAAGAGAACTTGTAAATTATTCACTTTCCACCAGTAAGGTCATTTGGGACTGACAGGTCTGACTGAATTCCAGGATGGTTGGATGTTCAATTCTGGAATGGTTGGATGTTCTTGTTGCTAGATTTCCTGGCGATATAGTGCATACTTGGATACAATTTGCAGAAGATAATATTCTGGGAAAAGATGCGAATGTTTGAAAGAATGTTAGAATTCAAGCAATTGTGATAACTTTGAGAAATAGCCTATAATTGATAAAGTGAAATTCAATAAAAGTGAGTGCAAAGTGTTTCACCTTTGAAAGAAAAATAAAATAAAAATCCAAAATGGTGAATCTTAGTTGATGCCTCAATGTACTAAAAAAGAGTATTGGGCTGTATTAGACCAGAGGCTAAATATAAGCCAGCAGATAAGATGCTGTTGAGCCATTCTTATGTATGTCACATGTAAGAGATGAAAGGCCATTATTCCACTCTATTTAGTGGGGCAAGACCTTTTCTGGGATATGTGTCCCGTTTTGGGCACACCTACTTTAGGAAGTGGGGTGTGTGTATGTGCATGCAGACATTTACATCTGTGTGTACAGGGGAGAATTCAGTGAGAGCCACAGGAGAGCTGAGAGGTTTAGACAGCATGACCTATCAAGAAGGGGTGGCCAAAGGGGGGTTGTTCGGTTTAATAAACAGAGCATCAAATGTTGATGTGGAAACAGGCTTCCAACAAGGAACAGTGCTACAAAGGGGATACTCACTGTTTGTACCCCAGACTGAGGACAGTAGTAAAGAGATGTTTGTTGCACACAAAGAGCAACCTTGGCTTGGCATGGGGAAACCATTAGCAATTAGAAGGATAATTATATGTGGGACATGTTACTGGGAAGGCTATAAAAGCCCAGGATGGGGACAGCAGGCATCTGTGGAGGGTGTACCTTTCACTCACCTTTGAGTGAGGAGATTGTGGGGTTTGAGTTCTCATCTTGCGCTGTGGTTCTTCAGGAAGAAGCCTGTCCATTTCCCTGCTTTTTGTCACCTCCACAGCAGGGAAGGAGATGTTTCCAGAGGCAACAAACAGGAGGTTGCTCTGCTTTTTCTGATGTTTGTTCTCTCTTCCTATCCCTCAGGATATTCTTAAACTTTCCATTGAATTTGCATTGATAATGTTTTTAAGGGAGGAATTACTACATTTTTTTTTCTTTCGGTACTATTAAAAATGACTTTTTGCTCTTTTTTTGAGTGAACATTTAGTTCAGTCATTTCCAAGAGTAAATTGCAACTGCATGGTTGAGATTGTACTATGTTGCCCTTTAGTATCACATGCCAGCCTCACAATAATAACATTACCTTCCTTGCTGGTATCTGGTGTAACACTGTCTTCCAAATACTTTCTGATTTTCCTTATCACCACATTAACTCTCTGGAAGCTGGCCAGATCCACATCCACTGGTCAAGGAGATCAGGCAGGGTGAAGAAACAGGGAAACTGTTTTCTCTGCAGTCCTACGCTCTCATGTAGGAGCTTCCAGGTCAGCAGCAGTTTCTCTGAGGAGGGCTCACAAACACAAAGCAGCTTGGTGAGGCAGACACAGGTACTGAAGAAGCAGGAGAAGGCCTGAAGGACAAATGAAGCTTGTACTATTTCCCCATCCTAAAGAATAGTCAGTAAGAAGTCAATCAGAATGGCCTCTCTCTCACTAATTCTAGACTTCCTCTGGTAGATACATTATATTTTCAGGGTTTGCCTACTTCTGTGTTATACTTTTGAACATCTTTCATCAGTGAGTGTGAGGAACATATGAGACTCATAGAAAAGCTTGGATTGGGAAGGACCATAAAAATCATCCTGTTCCAAGCCCACTGCCATTGCAAGGCACACCTTCCACTAGACCAGGTTGCTCAAAGTCCTATCCAACCTGGCCTTGATCACTTCATGGATGAGGCATCCACAGCTTCTCTGGCTAACCTGTTGCAATGTCTCACCACCCTGACAGTAAAGAATTTTTTCCTAACATCCAATCTAAATCTCTCCTCTTTTAGTTTAAAACCAGCCCCGCCCCCCACCTTGTCCTGTTGCTATCTGCCCACGTAAAAAGTGGCATAAGAACAACAAGAAAGCATTATCCACAAGAGAGCAGCATCCAGAAGGAATGGCATCAGTTTCTTCCTTCAGAATACTCTTTCTTGAGATCTCTCAGCTCCTCCACCCTCCTACTTTGATTAGCTGCTCTCCCCCACGTCTGAAATTGCATTAATTTTCTGGCACATTTTGGGCATGGTGAGTGTTGAAACTATGGTTTCAAAGCCAAGGAAAATTCTGCCAACTGATGCCCAAGAAATCAGGCGTTGTCAAAACAAACACTGCTATTTTCTGAACTGCCTTAATTTGTACCTTCTTATGTTTGTTTCCTCCTTACCCTGCAGGAGAATAATGTGAGACTGTGATCAGCAGGCACACGACCTTCCCAACATGAGCTTTGTTTAATCCTGAAGAGAATGTGACTTTTCCAAGTCATTTGTGGCATCTTGCAGTTGGCTTTAAGTTTTGCATGAATTGTCCCAATCCCAGTTTGTTCAGTTGTAGCACGTTGTGCACTCTGGGCGTGTGTGTTGTGTGTGCCAGTGCTGCTGCAGGAGTGCCCGAGACAGATACAAGCAACACAGATGCACCACACTGCCATATTTCAGAGATATGTTTTCATTGTGCCAGGAATTGAAAAGCCAGTCAACATTACCTCAAATTGTACAAGATTCTTGCTTGTTGCAATGTGCTCCAGATTTGATTAATCTAAAAATCTTATTAAAATTATTTTTTTGCCTGTGTTTTCCTCCCCTTGTGGATGTGGACTAGCTGTATTGTACTGCACTGCACTCTTTTTGGAGCAATGTTTCTTTGTACACTTTATCTTATTAATGACTGGAGCTTGTCAGAAGCAGAGGGGGAGGAATTCACATGACTTTGAGGCAATTATCCAAAACCTGTATGAGATATCTTAAACGTGTAATTCAGAAGCTAAGAGGGAGCCCCATGCATATGCCAAATCAGGAAATTTTCCATTCTCATTATTTTTTTTAATTATTTTTAAAATTGAGCAGATCTATGTCTTAGCAAAAAGTTCATAAACTTTCTGGGAATGCCTGCAAAGGAGCAGGCAGTACAGAAAGGGGTACTGCAGCTTGGAGGAGCCAGGAGTGCTCCTGCCAGGAATGCTCATAGAAGTAATGGCTTGGAGGATTCAGAAGCTGATGGTCAGTGAGATTGACAACCTGGCACACGAGCTTGGATGAGGTGCCCAGCTTGGAGACAGGTGGTTTTCTTTCTGAGCATTAACTCTGTCAGCACAAAACCATTAATCAGTTCTAAATAAATGTCACTGTAAATACAGAACTTGGCCTGATTCCAACGAAGTACGAAGTACCTCCATCCCTTTTTCCATGAAGCTGGAGTTGCAGGTGGTCCATCCTTTCAAGAACTTGCTGCTATTCTGTGAAGAAGTAGAAAGAAACTCTAAAAGGTTGCAAACAGCCCATGTTTTCACTAAGGAATATCTGACTTCATGAAAGAAAAGGTATAGTCTATCTTCTCTTTCCAACCAGTGTTGTAAAACTGGTATTTAAATAGTATTTTCTCCTTCACAATTGAGGGGTAATATCAAAATTAAAATGGTGCAGAAAAAAGAATCCCCATTTTCTTGTAACCTTCTCCCTATCTCTTAAAAATCCCCAAACAAACTAACCAAATGAAAAAAGCAAACTAAGAACACCAGGGTTGGTGGCTCATTGATGTAACAGTAAAAAAAAAATCAGACATACAGAGAAATTTCTTGTTATTTTCAGTGCTGCTTCGTATGTCATTTTTGTGGAGCACTATGTTCTGGTGATGCCCTGCTGATTTGGTAACAGGAATGATCTATCAACACTGCCATTACAAACCTCATTTTTATAACTTGGATGTGCACATTTGCTGTTACTTGGTGTGTGTTATAAAAAAATTCAATTTCCTTTTTAATGACTTGATAATTTTTCAAGTAGAAAAATATGAAAGGTTCCAAAAAGCAAAAAAGAAAGGCA